GTGCTTAGGAGCCTAAATTAAAATGGCCTACAGCAAGAACTGGTCTTTTCAATGGGAGAAGGGATGTCTTCGCACCTCAGAAACCAGCTGATGAAACGCAGGCTAGAAAGCCTAATACTGGACATCCAAGTTAAAAAATGTTGCTGACAAAATCTGCCCCCGCTGCTTGCTGAAACCTAGGAAATTGTACAGGTAGCCACAAAACTGACTCTCCAAAGTGATTTCAGAAGCTCCTCTAATACAACAGGAAATGACCTGTTATTCCTGTCCAAGATACAAGTGCTAATTAGGAAACTTCAAAACGTTCACTCATTTGACCTCTTACATAGCAGGTGCTCTTCTAGACAGAGCTTCACAATGGCTTCTGCCATCAAAAGCACCTGCATGTTTCCAAACGTCCAAATCGGGCCTTTTCTACCCAGCTGAACTGCGGGATACTGGCCAGTTCAGAGGATGACACGTCAGTATTCACCACTCCTCCAACCCGGAGAGCATCCATCCGTCCATCCGGCACCTTGACAGAAGACGGCCACACCAAATAACGCCCTGCGACAGCAGCACCACGAGGATAGCTCCAGGCTGGAACCATCCAGAAAGGATTAAGGTCCTGATTTACGTCATCCAACACACTCCTCATTATCCACTTTCAAAACAAAATCTCGTATTTACCATACTTAGACGTGCAGAGGCACGACTGCATCGCTCCACTTACATGGCATTCTGCAATGTGTGCACTCCGACAGATGGAAATAGGTATGTCTTACTGCCACTTTCCTGAGTTTTATTGTCTTTTAATTGGGTGGTTCCAAATTAGTCTATTGCATTGGAGGTCTGACACGTCAAATCGGTGAAGGAGCAGAGCAGGGAAAGTCCGTAGCGAGGGGACGGATCGCTCCAGGTTTTGCAGATGTGCTGGAGAAGTAGTCAAGCTGGTCAAAGGTAGGCTTAAATCGGATATATTTTTCCACAGCCTTTTTATTTTAATTTCTACATCCAAACTTAACCTTTTGCTCAGCACTAAATTCCTCACTCCCACAACTCAGAATATCTCAGTAGAAATTCTGTGGAAACAAAGAATAATAAAAATCAAGGCCTATTGGAGCAGTCCTGCTGAACCAAACGGACCCTTGCTTAGAAGATCCCAAAACAAAAAGCAATGGAAGTGAGGAAAAAAAAGTTCTGATCCAGGATTTGGAGTGTTAATTTTCAAATTCCTAAATGCAAAACATGACTAATTTGGAAGTGTTTTTTAACTGAACTGTTAATACATTTTAGAAAACTACACAGCAGCAATTTCATCTGGTGCTCTTTTTGAAACGGGAATTTTTAAATTTTTCTACCATGTATATCGCTATTCTAGTCGCCTTTAAATGCCTTTTGCTCATATCTCATTTAAACTGTATCGTATTTTAAATAGCCCTTAGTATGACATTTTTAGAGCTTGAACTCACCTGAATGCTTTAAAGCAACTAACTCCTAATCAGCCCAGAAAAACTCGCTGTCAAGGCAGAATATAAAAGCACAGAGTGCAATGTATTCACCGCATACGCTACGTGGTGAATAAACATTGTTAGCATTTGCATGCCTCATACTCGTAAGAAAAGGTACACAGGGTAAATTATTAGAAATGCATTTAGTTCAACAAAAATGCAATGGGAACTTGGTATTATGTGACTGCAAAAAACCAGAACTTAATAGGGGAGAACTGAATTAAAGAATGGCTAAGCCCATGTGATATATTTATGGTTTGAACTTGACTGCATCTTACATGGGTTTCGAATTCACTTTTACACCATATTAGACATTCATTTGCCAGCGTTATATTTATTTTTTCCAATTTTTTCCCTTCCTCTTGCAGAACAGAAACCAATTATGTTAAAAACAGTCAGCCAAATTTTCTGTCACGCGTCCTATTCCTTCAGCTTTAATTGGGTAGATATAATTACCAATTATAAAGGGACACAATCCTGCCTATCTCACAGAAAGTTCAATTTCCACATTTAAGAGGATCCTGTCGATGTGGTGGTTTTTCACTCACGGTACGTGTGTCTTCTGCATTTTGTTAAATCCAGTACAAGTGAAATCCACAGTGCACTTCCATCAGGTGTGGCACGCGATGTCCGTTTAGTCAGCACTACGAGTGATGATAGACACCCGCAGCTTTAACGGTGGACCTCCTCCTCCAGACTAAGGCAGCAACTCATCCTTAGAGATGAGAGAAACACAGACAGCAGAGGACAAACAGGACCTGAAGACACCGATGGCTTCTGGACACCCTGCTCTGCCCTCCAGGAATCCCGCTGCCACCCGTACGAAACACGGGCTGCAGAGGGATGGTGGTTCTCCTCGCTGGCTAGTTCGGCTCTTGTTACCAGTCCTGAAGCCAGGAACATTTTAGTCTTCTTCCATGGTTTCATCCCTCCTGCCGGAGCAAGAAACCTTTCCTCACGGGCTGTTCCCTGGAGGGAACAGGCTTACTTTTTCTTGAGGAGACCAGACGTTCCTCCATAGGTGTTCCACTCTGAGCCCTGTTGCCAGGGGACCACCAGAAGATGCACCCGAGAAGGTATTTCAAAAGGACAGAGGAAATCTGCCTGCACCTCTCTCTGAGCGGGAGGCAGAGCCCTACGAACGCTTCCCAAAAACACTCGGTGCCAACCCAAACCTCTGATTGATGGGGATCATCAGTCTGTTGACATTTCTTTCAAGATTTGTTTCATGCTTACGTCTTTTGGTTATATACCCATTTATATACATCCCCATTTAGTGTGTATATAAGGTATAGATATAGAAATGTCTTTTTTAGGCCATTAACAGGGCACTTAAGATGTGCTTAGACTTTTTTTTACGGTGCTTTAAATTTTTTGGCTTGATAAGGTTATTCCAGGACAGGCTCAGAATATTTTATGAGCACATACTGTGACAGCCACAGGACACGTGCGATAACCCATGCAGAAACCAAGAGTTTTCCGACTTCACAGCTTATGATTACATGTTGGCACCCGATGATTGACTGAGATGTCCTGAACCCCTGGAAAAATCAAAGCACCAAAACAGCTTGTGGAAACAAGCAGATTTGCAGCTGGAATGAGCTGAGGTATAATAACAGTAAATTGTGCTGCAGATGAAACGCAAAACTCATACGGATAATAATACGGTCCGGGGTTTACTTCTTGGTGATAGTGAAAATGTAAACTGATTCTGTTGCTACAGAATCTAAACTGGAAGAAAGTTTAAAGATGGAAGAATGGGAAGATTATCCCACAGCACACAATAAAATAGTAACAATAGCTTACATAGTCTATGGCTACTCTCTACCACAGACATTTTAAGTAATTATTTATAAATACTATGAAAAATAACTGGCTTTCATATGTGAGACATTGTATATTCTGGCTTTTGAACTGAAACAATTTAGTTTTTATTAACTGTGTAATTTTGAGGTATCAGTAAAACTGTTTGGAGTAAAAACCCACCCAGAACAGTTTTCCATTTTATATACAAATCTTTAAAAGAAAAATCACACTATAACCTTATTTTTTCATTTATTTCAGCCAAATCAAATTAAATAAGACTACTGTTCCTGATTCATAGAAAGAAAAGGCTTAGCTCAAAATGCCTGCTTTAAGAGGTTGGCTTTGACCAAAGGCTACTTGAAATACAGGTGCAAAACAGTCTTTACTAGAGAGCCAGCACTGATTGAAGGTACATACTCTTTCCCGGCCACTCGTTAAAGTTTTTGATTCTTCTGTTTGTTCAGGGGGGAAAAAAAAAAGTTTTGTTTAAAACTCTAAGTTTGATAAAAATGGAATTGTCTCCAAGTCTGATTTTTCAAGTGAACAGGTAAATTTTAAATGATGAAAGTAAGAACATGAAAACTGCCATGTGAGAGACTTGAGGGTAGTTATTATATTACTCTAAAGACCAAGATTTATTTAAGAGTTAGTTGCATGAAGTAAACTGATTCTTAAATAAAGAGAAAAAAAAGGTCAAACTACAATGCGATGGCACTTCATGGGCACACGTTGACTGTCTGTACAAACCAAAGCGATGGCTCTGCCCAGCCCAGGGAGCCCCGTGGGCAGGCAGCTCTTACCAAGCTGAACAGGACACGTCCTTTTCAGAGGGAGACCTCGGAGGGTGGCATGGAGACTAACGAAACCCCCACGTCCCACTCCATTTTTAATGTATGTACTCCATTACGCTCACTCATACGGAGGCCATAATTATCTTAAGATAAAAACATCCCCAGCTTTAATATAACAACGTTAGGTTATTTCATCAAAATATTCACCCATAATATAACCCTCAACAACTGCTGTAAGATCAAATAGGAATATGTATTTTATCTCCTGTAATTGTGTGTGATAGATGTGATTACACTGCACGTAATTTGTATGTGCTATGTGCACTATACTGAAATATAAACGAAAATCACCAATACAAAGGAAGAGAAATCTGTACGTTCAGAAGAGAGCGTTTCTCCTGAGGACTGATACTTGGCAGTGGTGAGACAGAAGGACGTGGTGAAGATACTTCATGGCACTGAGTCCTGTGCTCCGAAGGGCTCCTGCCCTTCTATCCAGTGACCCAGAGCGCCTCTGCTGTCCCTCCCGTTGACGCCTTCTGAAGGGACCTTCAGGGATCATTAGGATAATCTGGCCAAATTCTGCATTTCTTAGAATAAATGGGTCAAAGAGCTTTCCTACCTAGTTGCAAACGAACATTGAGAATAACATTCTAAAAAAAACCCCTTATGATCTTTGGGAGAGGAGGAGCCTTAACTAATATTTTTTACCTTGGAAACAGAATATAGAAGGTTTTGACACATGGAAAGGACATTCCCTTGAATTTTGAAAGCACTTTTGCTGTTATGTCTCAACTTTTAGCACATATACATGCATACATGTCTACACTTACCTATATGTGCCTTACATTTACACTTTCCTTTTGTCAGACAGCTTTACACATCATAATATGATCAGAAAATAATTTCTTACCCGGGGATATGATATAGAAGAAGTCCTTAAACTCATCCATCCAGACCTCTGCCAGTCTCCTGTTGTTCTTGTTGATGACGTGTCCCGTGCCACCAGGGAAGGTGTAAGGTGTTGCCTTTCGGAAAACATGGCTAACATGCGAGCAGGTGACAATCTCAAGGGAGCCGCCGCACTGCCAAATCTGGAATTAAAATATGCAGAAAACGTTGACTAAACCAAATACAAAACATGCCGAGTTTATAGCAGGAGGGACTCTGACAGACAGGTTAGCAGCTACCTCCTGATTTATTCCCCCAGGTCACAATTCAACAGGGAATTTCAAGCAAAAGTTTAAGGGAGACGGCAGGGGCACAACTCTTGATAGCAATGAAAGTGCACAGACTTTCACTGCCACGTGACAGCTTGTGTGAATGGTTCACTTGGTTCTGCGTCCTTACAACATCAAGATACACAAACCACCATCTTAGAAAGGTATATTCCTAGAATGGATTAAATGTAGGGTATGGATGTTATCTGTGTATTTGAATTTTCCAGGATTTTGTAACATTTTAAGAAACAGAGAAGAACTTTTACTTTTATATATGTATAAATATATATACATATATATTTCACAAAGCAGAATCATGTTCATGACCATCCCGAGCAAAGGCACAGCAGATCTCGGTTAATATCACAGACGGCAATAGAAAGCAGCGAGCGCAGGTACTCTGAACATCGCAGAACCACAGAAGTGAAACACAGATGCAAAACGTATGTTCTCTGATTCGTACGCTGGCGAGTACCACGATCGACTCAAACAAAAAAAAAAGTTTTAGACAAAGAAGAGACTTTGATGAACTTCTAGATGCAAACTGTCCCTTTCCACTGCTGGAGCCAGAATCTATACTCTGAGTAAGCTCATGCCTTCGATATGACCGCGTACGTATAAACAATCTTATAATCCTGGACTTTAATACTCTGTTGTTAAATGAAGTAACATGTTTTTCTGTCAGACCGCTAGAGTCTTGGTGTGATAGACATCAGTTCGTGTATTAACCACTGTTCTGCAATCTTCCGTCTTTCTAGGCTCTGAAAAGAACTAAAGAAGAAACTAAAGAAGGCTGAAGGCCCAAGTTTGCAGAACTGGAGGCGTAACAGGCAGCTGGGTGAACAAAGATTTCCATCGGATGCTTGCAGGGTTACAAAGCTTTGCTGTTCTGCCAGACAAGATCGATTCCTTGGGATTCACTCTTCACCAAGGTTCACTGGCATTTTTAGCACCAACAAAGGTATCACCAACTGGCCGGTTCCTTATTTAGCTCATCCCACCCTTTGCTTCGGTCTCCTCCTAAGCAGACAGCAGGGCTAAAATTTACAATACCTCCTGGTAATAAAACACAGAGTTTAAGAACCACTGGGTGTTTTAAACAGGAAGGCTGGTACAGTCTTGTAATTAGAGCTCCTCGACACAGACATAACAGTTACCATAGTAACTTAATGCAGATTTTATTTAATTGGGGCTAAATCCTTTTATATAATTTCATTAGCATGCTAAGTGATGTAGTCTGTTGGGACAAGCAATGACAACATCAAAATATTCTTGTGTTTAACATCTTGTGTTTTGCAGCTCAATGACAACTAGTCAGTTCAGGTGAAACTTCAAGCTGATGGATGCCAAGGAACACGCGACTCTACCGAAAAGGGAGCATGCATTACAACTGAAATACAGACTACTGATGTGTTTACAAAGCAACCTGGGAGTAACTCACCGGACAGGAATCTAATGAGCAGATGCAGTTTTAGGTGCGCTTTAACCCACGGTCTCTGCCTAAGGACCAGCATTCCCCCCCAGGTTGCTCCTGCTCTCCCCCTCCGACTACTTTCCTCGGCAGGAAATTTCTCCCACGCTACCGTTTTTTAAAATGCGTGTTCCTGTACATTTCTTAAAGCACATTTTTGGCTGTCCTTGGTACAATCTGCTATCTATTACAGTTGTCATAGAAATGCAGATGAACCTGCACCCTGTTCAGAAGAAAAGGACTTTTATCTTTTCAATATTATTTTAAAAAAACAAACCAAACAACCCTCCTGAACGTTCCCTGGTAAAATGACTGCTTTCCAAAAGTTCATATAATGGTTAAGGATTGTGGGATTCCGCAGATCTGTTCACCACACAGACAAGATACACTATGGTAATTGATCACTCTCCATCGCAACTACAGTGAATACCAGAATTGTCCCTGATACTTTGCTGTTGAAGAGCTCTTTGTAGACAACACCTCCCAGGTATTCACAACACCCGCCAACAGCTTTTTACTGACGCTGGTGACTGCCCCGTGTAACACTCCGAAACTTTTCGGGAGAAACTGCCGTTAAATTTTATTGCAGACTTTTTCATTTTAATATTAATTGTATTTTTTAATCCAGCAAAATTTCCAGGGATAGAATTTACTTGATCCTATAGCTTGGGAATCAGATATTTCCAATGAGTTGTATCTTTCCTCCAGCACGCCTAGATTTGTTTTAAACGTGGCAGCAATTTTATGGATTATTGCTTTACTACAGTCCTTCCAGTCATCTTAGTTATCTCTTCCCAGAAAAAGAAGAACAAACAGAGCCAGTGCCTCACCCCAGATTGCTACATCGAGGCTTTCCGCCCACCAAAACCTGCCCTTGGCAAACTTTACTGACCTTCCACACACCACAACAGGCAATAAGGGGCCTGACGGCAACTAAAAGCACCGAGGGACTAAAGACAGCCAGACTGCAAATATTCCGGTACAAGACTGATGTCTCTCATTTAAAAAAAATAAAATTAATTTTCACGCTGAATTATTCATAAACCAGTTATTGTCACGTCATAGTTTTTAAGGTTGAAGGTATCTTCCTTTCCTTCTCCTCTGAAGTTTAACCCTTCTTCCACCTGAATGAATTCCCCAAAATCAGATAGTCTTCCAACCATGGTACTTCAGTCATACTTCAAGTCCCTCTCTGCATCTTCCAACCCAGCACGTTCCCTGAGTTTATTCCCCACCTTTTGTGAAAAGTTATTTAATGGAAAAAAACCCAAACCCAACGTCCAGCTGCAACTTTACAGTTAAGAAACTCTAATAGTGACCTGTCCCCAGCCTGACACCTCGTCCTTCAGCACTCCCCATTTTCCCACCCACCAGTTCATATCAACCTCCATCCTCTCCTGACTCAGGAGATAACTTCCAGAGTGCCCCTTGTTGAAATGTTTTGGTGAAGAACAGATCCAGCAGATCTGCCACATTTCCTTGGTCTGGAAAATGAGCTGTCAAACCCAGCATGTTATAATTTAGCTTCTAACAAACCCATGTGAGACTAACCCTTTTTCTATTTATCTTTTCGCTTACAAATATTAATGCCTTCAAAGTTTGTGGTAAAACATTGCACGCCATGGAATTAAAACTAAGGTTTGTATTTGCCCACATAATTTATCCTTTTTTAAATACAGGCATTAATTATTTAGAACTACCTTGGATTTCACAGACATTTTAAAACCATTCCTACTATTGCATAAAATGATTGCATTAAACTCCGTCTGATCTCTGTGCAGCCCACTGTCAGGATCTTTTCTCTTCCATCACTTTTGAACACTGAGTCAATGTCAGTTCCCGCAAATCTCAGCACACATCAATCAGAAATGTTTAAGGCTCACAATAATTTGTAGGCAAATAAAAATAAAACAGCTTCGAGGCTTTACTCCTAATCTTAGAACAAGTAGAAAAAATACTCCTGTAGCTCCGCTGATGTTTGTTTGGTTTTGGGCGGCTAGAGTACGTGTTATCTACCTATAGCTAAAAGAGAAGCATCACACGCCACCTTGTCCTTTACAGCTGAATCTCTCCAGGCAACTTAAAGCAAATCCCATCATTTGCTTCCCCGTTTTGTCGGAGCTTTCCGTTCCTTGGTACGACAAGGCTGCGACTGCTCTGCGTTGGCGGCGCGGCTGAAGCCGGCGTCACCGGGTAGGAGGCTGTCATCACAGCTCCGGCGGTTTCCATGGACACCTACACCCGATGGGGATGGAACCGCGGGGCGGGTGGGGGTCCGGGTGAGCCGGGCACCGGGGGGCACACGGCCCAACGCCCAGATGTTGGCACAGCTGCTTCTGCAATTAACCTCTATAAAGGGGAGTTTTACAAACAACGCTTCCGCGTTACTGGGTACTGCCTCATTCTCAGGAGTAAAATCTCCTCACCAGTTCCTTTTATGACAAAATACGTAAAACTAGCTCCAAATGAGATATAATACTCCTTAAAGTTTAGAGTAAAATAAAACTAAAATCTCAGGTTACAGAGATATGAACACCTAAACCAAATGCTTTACATGATAATAATTCTATCTACTTCATTTTAGAAAATATTTCTTTACATAAAGGGGTTCTTTTGGTACATGTGTGTGTTTATTAATGATGGTGTTAGATTAAACATCTCTCACGTATATGCACAGATCAAAGCTATGGTAAAAAAGTCCCCAAAGGTTACTGCAGTCGGAAAGTAAGTTAACACGTAAGCACAGTCATATTAAATAAGTTAAATTTGTTGGCTGCTATGCAGTGATGCCTAAGTAATAATTAGGAAAAAAAAAATCCTGAAAACTCTAATACCAAAGATCTCTATAATGAAATCAACTGAACCGGTGTATCTTGAATATTTTCCCTACAGAAACATAAGAATCCTGACATACAGAAAAATTAGTGCAGTCCAAAGAAAGGGCAAAATGTTGTATGCTTTAAATGTAAGCATACAAACATATTTTGAATACAATTTGTGAGCAAACTGTGCTCCTAAAATTAGTTAATATAGTCAAACAGCTAAGGAATATTGAAAAGCACAGAGAGAGATTTTCAATCTGTTTGCCAGGTGATTAGGGATTTATAAACCCCAAATTCCACTCACCAACACACAAAATTAATTTCAATGTCAGTGTACTTCTGAAAATAATCTCGCATGCACGCAACCTTTCCAGCCTCACTAGGAGCACACTGTTATGCCCGTAATTATGCAGCGCTGGTCTTCCAGCCATCCAAATCAATGATCCTGCTAAAACTGTTTACTTAAACATATTTAAATGCTCTCTTACGCCTCTAATTTTACAGCTGAAAGTTGAGACCTCACATACAGTCAGGCTGAAAAATTGCTGTTAATAACTCTCTGCGCATATCTGGAAAAGCTTCATCAACAGCATCCAGCCTCATCAGTACTGACATCAAGAAAGCAGCAACCTTCAGGACGTTACTCCTGGTCCAGCAGCAGCAGCAGCCGCGGATGGGACGCAGCGAGGGGCTGCGGCTTGGCCATGCCTGTTTCCTCGCACCCAGACGGTGCCTTTTGCTGCAGCGTGTGGAGCCTGCACAATGTGGCTGCCGTTCACACATGCTGCAACACGAGTGTTCCTACAGATCGGATCCTACACTAAGCTACAGGTGAATTAAACACCCTCGCGCCCTACTCCTTTACCGTAAGACTTCCTGCAACAGTAAAAACAGAAATTTCAGAGACCGAGAACAACCTATTAATATATCACGCTACTTAGGAAACACACATGGAAACATTTGCATACCCTCTCCTGCACTTCTAACAGCTGCCAGAAAACCCGAAGTAAACAGCATCTTATTCCTGTTACAGCACGCATTTGCTTTCTCTAGCCCTGCTTTGGCCTATTTGGATTATTCTGAAGAATAATCTTTTCTCCCTGATGGACAGATTATTTTTAATACCCTTCCCAAAGCTATATGAGCTCCTTGCTGACTATCAAGTTTGCAGGGTGTTCTCTGATTGGGAAAAAACACTTACAGAATTTAACAGAAAATTAAAAATGTTTAAGGAATTCTATAAATAAAAATATGGTAAATGTTTAAGAATAAACGAGGTTTTCATTTACTGAAGTAGACTCTCACAGCTGTAAGAGATTCCTGCCAGGATTATTTTTCCTTCCCAATTGCTATTATTAAAAGACATCCTCCAAAAGGCACCGTTAAAGACCGTTCAGCAACGAGCAGCAGCAGCACAGCTAAAAGATGAAATACCGATTTACCCAGAAATAAGGAAATTGTACACAGCCGCGCACGTTACCACGCTCACGCGCAGTGTTTTAGGGGGACAGAGCGGCTGCCCCGGCAGCACAGACAGACTTTGATTACGCGTCCTCAGTCCGTGACTCGGCTCCGGCGCTGCCCGGCCAGGCAGCGGGGAGATGTGGGACCCTCCAGTGCTGCGGCCGGGGACCCCCTGCGGGTGTTTCTCCTGAGCCCTCCCCGAGGCACCGCGTCCAGCCGAGAAATGCCTGCGTGCCTCTTTGAGACCAAAAATACTGCGAAACCTTCTGATCATTACAGCGGGGACAACGCCACTGCCGTTGCCGGCTGCAGATGAGAGGGTCGCAGACATTAGCCAGGGAAGGCAAAGGCACTTAGTAACATTTTTTGAGGACGCAGGGATTATCAAGACGGGGATTTTGGGGTTTGTTTTCTGAATAGTGGACCAACACCAAAACTAACCCCCTCCCATTTGACGATAAAAACATCCAATGTAATAAGAGCTCTAGAAACGTCCTTATGGCTGACTCCTATCATAGCAATTTTCCAAACCAAGATTCAGTCTCAGTGTTTTCCTGAATCATAGAATCACAGAATAGTTTGGGTTGGAAGGGACCTTTAAGGGTCATCTAGTCCAACCCCCCTGCCATGGGCAGGGACATCTTCAACTAGAGCAGGTCGCTCAGAGCCCCGTCCAGCCTGACCTGGAATGTTTCCAGGGATGGGGCAATGAGATATTCTGGAAACCTGCTGGATAATTGCAGGTTTGTAACGCGGCTGCTGGAGGAACCTCCCCAGCCCCTTGGCACTCTTTGCTACCAATTTTCTGCAGAAGTTTTACATCAGGTAGGTTTTTAAATGCAGAGGCCTTGGTATTTTATTGATCCAGTTGTGCTTGATGCACTTGACTATTTGGTTGGTTTTCTTTACAGACGGAGGCTCTAAATACCAAGAAGCAGCATCGCGTGGCTGCCTGGCATTCCCATGGTAATCTCCCGGCGCTGGAGGCACATCATTTTATTTCTATTCTTGACACCATGCCCTCTTATTAGGCTGATGCACGTGTTCCAGGCTGGTAATGTTTCTTGAAGTTTAAATGGGAAAATCTTCCAAAGACATAAAATAATGTTCTCTAATATGATGCCCAAAGAGTTCTTCAGAAAATTCACGCGCTTCCCCTCCTCGGTCCCCCCACCTCAGCCTTAACGAGTAAAGTAAGAGTAACGGCAGAGCTGCTTCCCTGCTTTTATCACTAGGGTTTTGTGCGGAGACCATGGCTTTTGTTGGTCTTTGCCTTTCCACACATTTTGGACTGAGATTTTTAATTTAAAGCTGAAATTAAGATCTCGTAACAGTATTCTCACAAAATTTATGTAAGTTAAGCCCATTGCTGGCTTACTCACATAAGCATTGAATAGAATTCAAGTCCAATTTGAAACAGACCCTTTGGGGGGGGGGAGAAAAACAAACCCTCAAAGTATTATTTTATGTATATTATATAAATTATAGAAGTGCCCAGGAAGCAGAACCAGCGAAACCGTACCAAAGGCAGAGGTATCAGCCCAACCTGCACTACACACGACCGCGAACCCCAAATCATCCCGACCAGGAGATGGCTGGCCCGTGCCAGGAACCCCAATGAGTTTCCCACGCAGCTGCCAAGAGCCAGAGCAGAACAGCACTAGATGAAGACAAAACACCACCATTAAATTGCTAAACTTCTCAGGAAAGGTTTTCAAAATACATTAGCATTATTCTTGTCATGGGCAACATACCTATCCCCGGCAGAAAGACAGTCACTTTTCTGGAGGATGTGAAATTTCTCTGCGAGCTCGGCTCTCACACAGAATAAAAATCCCAGCCAGAACTTGCAAGTTCATGACGACATACACTTTCAAAATCTTCTGTTAAAACATATATTTGATTTTTTTTTTACACTATACAAATGTATATCTTGTTAATGTCAGTTAGCATTTGCACTAGCTCACAGAAAGCCTCGTTTCTTTTATAAAGAAAGTTATTACTGAAATATATATTATTTTGAAAGTGTAAAAATTTCCAAACAGTAATAAAATGTTTCATGCAGTAAAAAGGACCAAAATACTATAATGAGGCATCCCCAAATACCTTGAGAATTTAAATTAACCCATGACTTGCATGACAGCTAAAGCAGAAGTGCCCTGTCCGCAGCGTAGGAACCGTTACAGCACAACTGTGTTTGTTGACAGAAAATGAAGGAAAACGGCAATTACCCTAAAAGACATTTCAAGATTCTCGCCACCCCAGATATCCATTCCTGCATCGTAAGTTCCTATCTCTTCAAAGTAGTTTCTGTCAATAGAAAATAGGCCACCAGCCATAGTAGGGGTCCTAGTTGAAAACAAACAGAAAAAAAAAAAAGAGGAAAAAGAAAAGAAAAGAAAAAATACCTTTTGAAAGACACTGTGGAATTTATTAAGTGACACTACAGTACATTTCACTACCTCAGACATTTTGACTATAAATATATTCTATGTACAGTGACTTAAATATAAACTACTAACAATGATAATACGGTTTCGACTGCATACTCTGTGCGCTTGCCTTTCGGGCAGAGCTCCCCCCGACGCCGATGAGAGCGCTGCCCGAGTAAGAACTGCAGGATTGCTTCCTACCCACAAAATCACATTTCCATAGATTATTTCAGGAGCATTGTAATGGTAAAGTGGATGGAATTTTGGCCTTCTGCATCCATAACAGCAGTTCATGTCCAATCTGAAATGCTTAATGAAGAGAGTATAATGCGTCAACTTTGCCTTAGAGGGAGACTAAACGTGCATAAAATTACCAGGCATAATCTCTCTTAACAGGATTATAAATCCTTACAACAGGCAAATCCAGTCAGAGTGCAACTTCTCTTTGTGTAAAGATGTCCTATTTCCCCGTAAATATCTGCTCTATGTTTTTTCAGCATTTAAAGTCTTCATGAAATGAAAAATGCTCACCCCAGTTAGCAGGCACAGGGCTCTGAGGTACTACACCAAAGCCCACCCACCAAACCACAGCCCTCTTACAAGGTCTACGGTGCGTACACACAAACCCTAGTGCACAGCTAAAGGCGTTGCCCCAAGCACGGGGTTTAAGCCCAAACTGGTCCCTGCAGACGTTGCCGGGGGAGCTGCGCCCCGGCCCCCTGCCGCAGGCGGCCCCGGCATCCCCCCGTCAGCAGAGCTCAGGCGCGATGTGGGGCGACACCACCACCACCAGCGACAGATGGGCTTTGGTGTGAGGAGTCTGCCGAGGTCTCAGCATCCCTACACCTACGGGCTTTGCCGGTGAGGACCTCCGGGCACGCTGACGTAGCTGCGGATCAAGCCTTGCCAGTCAAGTGTCAGTCACGTTTCTGTCCTCAGCTTCAAAACCAACCGCAAACTGGGCGAGACTGGGTTTTGAAAATGCAGAACGTAACGCTAGCTCGATGCGTACACGTACAACCGCACACAAGCATGCCAGTAACTACGGCCTGCATGCAAAGGATTCAGTCACAAAAACGAACTCATTCGTTCAGTTGTTTAGTAAACTGCTTGTGAAGGCTGCTGGGAGTATCTGATACTCAGTGGTCAGATTAGGCACCTGAACCCATGCAAGCGCAACGTCTCCAGCGTCAGCACTCCTGCCCATTTGAAGCCCAGTTTCCGCAAGAGCTCCTGCGTTTGGAGACAGCCTTGTGCAAACACTGATATAAAACAAGCTCCTAGAGTTTTTCTGAAAAGCAAGTCAACGGCAGCAGAACAGTTCATGTGCAATGCAGGAAAAAGCTGGAAGAGGGGCTTCACGGGCGCTCCCACCCGTGGCAGAACCTGAATCGCTTGGGCATTACTCAGATCTTCCTTGAGAAGTTTCTGTATGTACTACATGCAACGTTAATTAGCTAATGCACCCCCCTATTTGCACACAGAATTACTGTGCTACGTTATGGGTTAGTGTGGGTGCTACACACACACAGAGTGCAGACGCTCGGACCCGCAGGGACGGTGCTGTGCTGCACAGAGCTCTCCCCGTGGTGGCACTGGACACAGCCCTGGCAGTAAGGAGTCCTCACTTACTCTCAAACTCAACAAATCCAGGTAATTTGCCCGCTGCGCAATTATTTCCTCTTCTGCAAGAGCTGACTACCATTACCCCCAGAAAAAAGCACAGTTTAGCAATGAAATAATACTGGACCTTGAGTTTACCAACACTTCATTTCTATTTTTCTCCCTGTGCTCTCAGCACTGAAAGCTCTGTTAATTAACTGTCTGTCATCTTGGACAAGGCTAAACCTTCCCAGGTTTCAAAGCCGCTTTACTGCCCTCAGCCGCGCTGGGTTTCTGCCACAAACACCACTGCTGGCCCCCTGAGCTATCCTGAGCTACGTTACCAGCAAGCGGAGCAGATGGGAACGGCCGGGTGGTGCAACCCTCCACCTGACTGCTATCATGAAGGTTAAATACCATCTAGTACGGGGAGCACAAAATAAAGCTGACTCTGCGATCTTTCTTAATTGAACTGGTTTCGTGCCAGATGATCACCAATGCAAAACTATTATATTTAAAAGAAATCTTTATTATTGGTTGTCTAGAAACCCTATAAACCTGTGCAAAACTACTTACACTGATACCAAAAGCCGTGTCAGTACTGGGTTTACCCACCTCCTGACAACTGGCCGAGTTCCCACAGGACTCACAGCGATTCACGGACGTTTTGATGAGCCTGTGCCCAGCGCTGCATGAACAAACCTCAGCACTGATCGCCCATCCGCACTAACCTTACTGAAGTGAGGAGTGCCACGGGTTTCAGACAAATAAAATCATCCCCACTCCTCTGCCTGCAACAGAAACCCTCATCCTCTGCCTCCTCTCCTTCTTCTTCCTCCTTTTATTTCTGTCCCTGGAGGAAGACAGTCTTTGCTTGAATGGTCCAAAATTTCTCATTTTTGCAAAGATTCAGTCTTAAGCAATTTTTGAATGATGCAACTGAGTTGTACACACAGAACTGGATTGTTCTGGAATGTCATCAGCAAATGTTTATGAAAAACAGTGTTTCCCTAATAACTCACGAACTGAAATTGGAAGTGCTGAGTTTCATGCTGTAAAATCTAAGTAACCATGCACCAATATACGCCACGGATTCTCAAATAACTGAAACGCAGCAGGCAGGACTATTCTCTGTTGTGTAATGTTATACAAACAGATCTGCAGAGCTCTCACTGTAAAAACAGCTGAAACAGTAATACTAGAAAGAGTAAGGGTTCCTATTTTTTTTTTCCTCAGCTTTGCACCTATTAGCTATATTTTGCCTACTTGGTGTCATACTAACAACTACAGTCGTGTGTTATGATTAACTCTAATCATCATTCAAACCCACTTTTAATTTTATTTTGGAGATAACGTCTGCTTCTCATTTCTGCAATTAGTAGCAGCCAGCAGGATTCCCATTCCTGTACCTGCACCTTTGACTTCCCGTAAGAGGAGCTGCACAACATAAAGGTATCTCCGTAACCCCGAGTTTGCGGCGTCCCACCTATCCCTCAAACCCAGCCCAGCGTGCCGTGCCGGGGCGGGAAAGCGAGGAGGGGCTGGCACGGAGCCGCTCCCGAGGGGACTCCAGCCCCTGCCGTGGCCCAGGGATGCTCAGGTCAGGTCCCCCAGGCCGGGAGCTCCCCAAAGCCACGTAACGTCACCTCACCCCGCGCCCTCCAACCTCCCTCTCCTGCGCATCTGCTCAAAGGGGTCCAACAGTCACACGGGCAACGGCACTAACGAACAAGACCACTATTTATATAGCTCGGAATAAGGTTTTTACACTAGTTTCAAATACTGCTGTCCATCACCTAGGCAGTATTAACTGTAGTCAGCTCTAAGTTTAACCAGCCATAATAAGAAGAAGATAAATACAATATGCTCCTAGTATTTGATCTTGTGTTTTTCCTCTCAATAACTAATCTATACTTGAGAAAAGATTTTCCGGAACAAAATATATATTTTTAGTATTTATAATACTAGCCTGGAATGTCTTCAGCTCAAAAAACTTAAGGGCAAGTATGGAAATATCCATAGAAATGTGCTGCGCAGAGACTGTAACTGCCCAGCACAGGAACACTTTATGTTTTTAATACTGTAGGTTTAAGAAGACAAGATGTTTGTAAACTGATCTGAGTGCAGACAAGTCTTCTGTTGCCGCAGGCAAAAATCACAGAAGCAGAAATGAGTTCACTTAAAGACAAAGGATGTTCTGCAAAGTACAAATACTGTGCAAGGATTTTTCAGCGGAAAAAGAAGAATGAAAGGTTTAGCAAGACCATTGGCTTTAGCTGGCACTACCCACGAACATTTACCACTGAACCAGGCCACACCTGAGAAGGAACTGCACTGCCCAGAGCTCTCTGCTTTCGTAATTCCCAGATCTACCCACATCCACCGGATCATCTGCAGGAAGCTTTAGCTTTAAGCTCCACCGCTGCACAGGGCAACCATCCAGAGAGCCCTCTGGGAACAGAAACAGGCTTTGCGCTTGAAATAACACATTTTGACAAGGTCTAATCATTTGCAAAGTTTGCAAAGCCGGAGGTTACCCCAGTGACAGTCAGTGGAAGTTAGATTACTAACATTTACTCTACATGGAAACAAGGTAAAATCCTGAGGTGCATCAGAACAGCAATGAATAGCCTTCGCTGTTCAAACAAAAGAAAATACATATATACCCATTGACATGAGTCCTTGGGGGTTGCTGTACCTTCAGATTAAGGAATGTACTCCTAAAGCAACACCTGGAAGCCCCTGCAAGCTCCACGGCTCAGGTAACATCTGCACTCAAAGCCACAGTTCATATTTGATTTCTGCAAATACACCCGAAAAAATGTTTCAGCTGATCCTAACGAACCTCACAGAATGAAATATTTGACTTGACTGGCTCTGTCTCCAGGAACAATCTTTTCTTCAGGGATTTCTTCTAAATGGCCCCTTCCTATTCTTACTTTATATTTTCAGTCCTAGCAAAGACACCTCATGAACTGAAAGCTCCCTGATGTTACTTTTGCTTCTGATCATTCTACGGGTAAAAAAATTGTAAGTACATTTACAAAAAAACCCAAGAAATCCGAGTATCTGAAGACCTCTGACTCCTATCCTCTCTTCCCCCAGGGTGGGGAGTACTGAGAGGGGGTCGGGGCGGAGGTGGCACGACCTGCTGCCCGGTGCCCAGGACAGGTCCCCATCGTTAGCGCTGCCCACCTTCATCTACCACCTTTAAACTGGGACCATCTGCAAACTGGAAAGGCTTTTGCTACCTTTGCAAAACCTGTCATTCTTTGGGGAAGAGTTACCATTTTAGACTATTCTGGGAAAGGTTACGCTATCATGGTGTTAGCTGACCTGAGAGAAAACTAGATAAGGGAAGAAGAAAATGAGAACAAGAGAAGGGACGTCAGACTGGGGTTTAAGAACCAGAAGAAGAAAATAAGGGGCAGAAGTGGTAGGGACTAGCGTGTGAAGAGCAGGAATAGCATCCACCTACAGATCTTGGATCAGAACCCCATCCGTCCAAGGCAAGGCATCACTCATCAGTATGAGAGGCACCTACGAATCCCCACCGTTCTGTTTGCTAAAAATATGACAAACAGTCTAACTTTTCCAATGGATGTCAGTAAGAAAGCTCTTTCGCAGCTGTACTGCATGACAATTAGCTGTGGGGTTTTAGTATCAGAGTCACTGAATTAATTAACCTTTTCCCACTAAATCTAGAGATTCCAGCAAAGGCGGATATTTGACTCAAACACCTAACTTAGGAATTTAACAGTTCCTTTAACTCCCTAGGCAAACAAGCAAGCAGCGTTTCACACCTACGAACTAGAAAGAATCAGGCACCCTCTTCTGAGAGTGCAGCACCTTCTGCCTTTAACCTCACTGGGGTTAATGGTCACAGCGCGTGCGGTGGCTGAACTCTGTTCATACCGACTAGCAAGCTCTCACCAGTACGCTATCCTGATCTTTTCCATAAAAACACGGTAATACAAATTATACATAAATAATAAATTGCATATAAAATAATTGATAGTTTGAAAATGTATGCATTATGATTTTAAATCTAAAAAGCAAAGGTAGGAATTTATCAATGTTGTTATGGAAGATAAATATTTTGAGTAAAACTTTTGTCAATTCCATGGATTTTTAATGTAACAAAAAGCAGAATTTGAGTGCAACGGTTATATTACGCATACATGCAAACAAACGTGTAATCCAATTATGTTTGTATTCTATACCTATTCTATCGATTACGAAGAAAAAATATGAATAAAGACATATTCAGTCTACATGAGGCTGAAATAATGTTACAGAATGGGGAAAGCAACATGGAATAAAAAAATGAACTCACCAATTTGTTTCTAAATTTTTGGTATGGGTTAGGCTTTTGTTTCTTTATACCCCCCCATTTTTTGAACATTCAGGTGGCGGCAGCAGCCAAAACCATTCTGAACTTAGCTGAAATATTATACTTTTTCCTCTTTGGATGCAGAATTTGTGATTGCGTTTCTGACACCTCAGGACTGATGTACTGCTGCAGTCCTTGGACTGCGTTTGATAAGCACTTGGAAATACCAGCTAGCACCGAAGGCAGCCGATGACTTATTAATGCTGTTTCCTATAGGAAGGCCGTTATACCCGGGCAGCTCCACGGCTCACTTGCTTTGCTGGTTCCCCTCCCGTCGGGCAGAAGGGAAGATGTAACGGGGAGCGCCTTCTGACAGGGAAGAGACCGAAATGCCTCCACTATGCGGTCAGAAAGGGCATCTGTATGTCTAAAAGCCGACGCTTTGGTCTGAAGCCAGCACAACCACACACCCTCAGAGCCACCTCTTCACTCTAAAGCACTTGTGTAAGTGATAATTACGGGACACGTGGCGCTTGGCGTTAACCTCTGACTCCTTCACCCACGCTCCGCTCACTAATACCCATCTTACCAGGAGAATCCCAAAAAGCCCAGGCAATCCCCAGCTAAAGGCGGGGGGGAGGGGGGAAGTTATTTTTTTGTTTTAATAATTTTAAGAGCCAATTACGTGTCTGATTCCGGATTAACTTTAAGTAGTGCTCCATTTCAAGATAAGGAAATAAGACCTGGGATTTGCGTTTCTTTGAAAACTCCCCATGTCTGTGAATTGATTGCGCACGGGAGAGACAGGATAAACAGGGCACAGCGAGTGACACGTGGGAGCGGCAGCCAGCCTGGCGTGAGGCTCTGCAGCTCGTTAGGATAATTAACTCTACCAATTTTAACACACACCTCAGCTTTAATGAAACAGCTGCTGGCAGACTTCACAGCTGAGAGATAATATTTTTGATCACGAGAAAGAGAGTTCTCTTGACTCAAGAGTAGCTTCATCCCCCCTCTGCTAACGACAGGGTCCGCTCCTGCTCCTGGGGACCCTGCTTGCTCTTCCTGAGATCGTTTCCCGAGAACAAAACCTAAAAAAATCCAGCCCTTCCCTGACTCCAGGCTTTGAAGGACATAAAGTGACAGATTTTGGCCACTTTCCGGCATAAGTGATTCTGAAAGGCTTTTCTTCGCCCATCCACTGCCTTACCTGGAAGTGTTTCCCAAAGCTGTGCTGTGCCTGCTGTCCCCTGAGTTGGCTCTCCCTTTATCTGCCTGTTGCGCACAATCGGGGGTATGCAGGACTGGAATTCTGTCCACTTCATCATGTCTCTCAGACAGGTTTGAAACCATTGCCTCCACTTGTGAAAGCTTTTTTTTTTTTTTAAAAAAACTTTTCATGAAGACCACAGAAGCTATTAGAGCTGAGCAAATAACCCATTGCAAGTAATTTATTCAATTTGTTCTGTTTCAGCTTCATTTAATTTTTTTCTAGAGGTTTTGTTACAGTCCGTGGTTTGAGCAATTAAATGAAAGAGGTCGGGAATGATCACGGGAATTCAGGACATACTCTTAGATCATTTTTGACTCAGTGTGCACAGTCATCAATTTTATTTTCCAGGCAATAAAAGCGTGCATTGTAAGTGCAAATCATCGTAACCGAACACTTGGGTTCGATGTTCAAAAATGTGTATTTCAGAAATATGTTCTAATATTTGCCTTAAATTATGAAAAAACAGCAACATCTGGAAACACAAGGTCAACAGGCTATTTGCAGAAAACAAACATAGAGGGAACTTAAAAAGCAGGCAATATTTTGAATTACTGAATGTTGAAAAGAAGATACAAATGAGTTTTCTCAGCTCTGATAACTACATTGCAGCATTAAGGATAGGTCCGATTTTGGTCTTCTCTACCCTGAACAGTGTGCCACAACTATCTGACGTGTGCTCCCTGATACTGCAGCAAAATCTTATGTATTAAGCATTATTATCTACATAAACGAGTACACAGCAGAGACAAATAACACGGTACTTTTGATTCACTCTCCTCACCTCACAGGCAAGGTCCTGTCTCCTTTCCTCCTGTCCATCTCTCGCTGGGGAACCGGATACCAGCGGAAGTTTAGTTTCCAGTTAAACCCTCCGTAAGTCATGTCTGATCCAGCCATGTATTCAAATGTGTCGTCGCTGATCACATCAATGATTGGGCAGACAACAGTCTTCCTGCAAGAAAAAAATTGGCTTTTTTTAAACAGAGTATTTTTGCATGTTAGTATGCTGAACGTTGCACTTATCTTGAGGCTTCTCCGCATAAATCCCCATTTACCACCGCCCTGCGCAGGTCTTCTCTTCCAGCAACGAGGCCGTGCAAAATTCCCCTTTTCTGCTGTCGGCGGCTTTTTGGACGCGCTGGCTCCTCGCTGCGCTCCCAAAAGCTGGAAGCTGCCGAGACCCAACCCTGCCCGGGGCTCCTGCTCCCCTGCCAAATCCTCTCCCAATGGCAGGAGCGACTGCCGCACGCTTCACCCCAGCAGCACTAACCACATCGTACTGGTAAGTTCCTGACATGACATACAGTGTTCCTGCACACCTTTCTACGACTGGCAGCGTCAGGACAGACACAACAGAGGCCATTTCTGCTTGTGGCGGCAGGACTCGAGTGGTGGGGGTGGTTTTTTATCACGTGTGCATGCACGTCTCGTGAAGCACCTGCAACGCGTTTCACGAATGAGAACGAATCCCATCTCCCATGTGTGCACCTCGGCAGGCTGGTGCTGCCCGGGCACGCGTGGCTGCTCCTGCACCACGCAGGGCAAGGACCTCGGCTGCTGCAACACTGCCAGGGAGGACAGCACGGTTTTCGGATCTCACTCGAGGGGCCTTTATGCACTTATGCACAAAAAGGGGGAAAATTGCATCGTCTACTGCCAAAAAGAGGAAAAAAAAAAAAAAAGGGGGGGGGGGAAAGGAAAAAAGGGGGAAAAAAAGAAAAGAACAAAAAAAGAGTGCAAATTTCACAGAGTATCAGAGGTCACACGGACAAAAAGTCATGCCTGGTAAAAAGAAGGGAGAAAGATGGCCATCAGGGTGGGAGACACCTGGACCTTGTGAAAGTGAATGGCACAAGTTGCTGTCGTTACTGGGATTGTTATTCTTACTGTCAACAACAAAAAGCCTGCTGTAAGAATCAAAAGCTTATCGTATATTTATTTAGAAATTAGATTTTGATACAAATATTAAGAGAATACTCTATCTTCCTGATAAATTAAAAAAAAAAAATCTTCACTTTCGGATCAACGATCTGTTTTCATTTCTACTTTTTAGCAGCACAGTGAAACCAAGGAATGGCCTGGAGGCAGGAGGCAGGTGCCCTGCACCCGGACGCAGGAGAGCCACCCTCACCTGTCCTCCTTTATCCTGGCCAGCAGCGGCTCGAGCCAGCCCAGGGTGCACTCGCAGTGCGCGTCCAGGAACGTTATCACCTGCCCTGTAGAGGCTGCTGCCCCTCGGAGCCGCGCGCGGATCAGTCCTGACCTCTGCTCCATCCGAATGATTTTTATTGAGACTTCCAGATTTTTCACGTAATTCTCTAATGAGGCTTTCAAAAACTCTGCCAAAGATAATTGGGAAAAAACAGAAGAAAATCATTATTTTTAGTTCAGCAACTACCAAGGGCTCCAAATATAACCGCAGAGTTTGTGTGTCATGCTCGGCCCTCCAAGGACTGCCATGCACGATCACTGCCATAACACGGGAAACGCAGCTTGACATATTTAGAGTTTTTCTGAAGACTGAGAGCTGAGCTATGGAGGTTCACACTGGCACTCGGTTCAGTGCAGCCGCACACATACACACACGTCTGCCAGAGCATCTCATCAAAACGCCACAGAAATTTTAAATACGTCACGATCGGTTTCCTTGAAATAAACCAGCAATCAATAGTGAGTGCAAAATGACTACACTTTTGCTAATTTGCCTATGGTTAAATACAACTATTTTTGATGAATTTCACCATTTGAGCCCTTTAGGAATCCAAGACTTTGCTTTTAGGAAAAATTGTAGTTACTTGGGCTAAAGTCTTCCCCCACCTTCTGGCACGGAGAAACATTAAGCCCACTTGTTTTCTGAAGCAGGGAAATCCAGGAGAGTAATTAGAGTTAAGTTAATGCTACATGGGGCAGAAATAAAGGACGGCTGAGCTTGCACCCTCTGTCTCTTGAACAGCTGCAGCTATATGTTGTATTTGCCATTATATACATTTGGCTACTCCAGGAAAATTTATCATTCCATTGATTCCATTTATAGAATGTAATGTGGTTGCTTTTCCAGGTGATACCAGTTTCACATGCAGACAGTTTTCTTTCTAAACCCTGGGGGTTTTTAAAAAAAAAAAAAAGAGAGAGAGAGAGAGAGAGAAGAAAAAAGCCAAGAACGAAAGAAATGAACCACAAATAAGAGAAATACAAGGAAATTGGCTCAGTCTGGACATTCAGGAAAACCTGAAACACAGAACAGGGGGGTTTTGAAAGACGGCAAGAGAGAGACAGAGAGAGATGTGAAAAACGGTTGTCTTTTACAGTAATATGAAATGATAAACCACAGTGCAAAAAGCGCTAATGAAATTCTGGACAGGAGCACCGCAGAGACAACTTACAACCTGATAACCAACCTTTGGCTCTGTTACTATCGGAAAGTGGACTTTAACTCTGCCCATACCTGCTAGAGTCCATTTGCTGCTGGCCCCAGCAGCGATCGGGGATGCTTGGCGAGAGGCGCAGGTCCGGTTCAGCGCTGGCGGGAGGGAGCCACGCTTCACAACCCTTTCTGCAGCATCCCCAAACGCGGCACTGAAACAACACGCGGAACGGGACTCCTCCCTCCCAAAACCTACCTCTCTCGCTGGCATCGTCCACCAGGATGATTTCAGAAAGCAGGCGGTGCGGCGAGCGATTTATAACGCTGTACACGGTCCGAAGCAGAGTGCTCCAGGCTTCGTTGTGGAACACAATAACTACGCTTGTGTTGGGGAGTTCGTCGGGGTAGACTTTTGTCTTGCACCTGCCAAAAAATACAGAAAAAACACAGAAGGAAAGGAGGGGTTAATCTTTAAGAAAATCCTAAAGAGCTCTACCAACGGGACAGTCTGGAAAAGGGGCTTCAAGCCTGTTGAGCAGGAAACATCTTCAAGCTCCTAAGCCAGAAGCCCAAAGGCAGAGGGAATTTCAAATCCTGTTTTCTTGCTAAGAAAACACAGCAGAGTATCCAGAGGAACGTCCGCCGCTGCGTTCACAGCTCCCTCGGACTCCCGGTCTCCTCGCTCCCGTTTGGTACGCCGAGAAATCAGCATCCGGCAGCCCCAGCGTCAACGTGTCCTGACATGGCAAACGGAAAACTCTCAGCTGCACACAGGACGTGGGGCAATTAATATAAAGCCTATCGGGCGGTTACAGTCAGGCCAAATAAGTCTTCTATTGTGAAAAATCCCAAATTCTATGGTTTGAAGTACACAGGCCTCCGAGACCTTCCCATCTTTGGCGGTTTCTCAAAAAGAAGAAAAAAATTACCATTTTCTAGAACACTCTATACGCCCATTCAATGGAAGAACAAGAGGTCAATAATTTCACCTATTTTTGGAAAATGTAGAAATTAAGGCAAAGCGAGCAACAGATACCAAACGTTGCTGATTTTGTGGAAGCAAATTAAAGCTATTTGCTTATTACAAAAGACAACCCAAAATTCTCCGTATTTGTTCCAGCCCTTGGACACGTTTCACAAATACAAACATGCCTACATCAACCCGTCAACACAGGTCAAGTCACGTCCCTTAAACGCACTTAATATGGATTTTTAACCGTTGTGACTTAAAATAATCCACTTTTTTTTTTTTTTTTTTTGCTATTTCGCTATTGTGTGATTTTCTGGCTCTACCGTCACCACTGTGACCCCAGTTCAGGAAAGTCCTTCCGCAAGGGACAGCTGAGCGTGCACCTACTTTCTTCAGCAGCAGCACACACACTCTAGTGAATTAAACTGCATGTAAAGTGAGAAGAAACGATGTACAGCTTTTTAGTGCATCTTCTTTGTAATACCACTTTTGTCTGTGTCATTTGAAAAATCAACCAGTCCCAATGCAGTTACTTGTTCAGGAGTGGCCTCCTCCTTACAGAAAACTTCTCCATCAAGGGCCAAGAGAACGAATGAATAAGGTCCCTGAAGAAAAGTCAGCTTGTCCATACAGTTTCTTTCTTAAACATCATCTACCATAAGAAAACTCTCTTCAACCTTTTCTTCTGCCCCACTGACATTTAAAGAAAAACAGATAAAACAACATCGTGACCACAGCTTTCAAAGTACAAGGTGAGGAGAGAATACAGAAGAGTACAGAGTATCACTGATTTCTATGGTACAGGTAAAAGGTCCATGGTATGTGTGTATGTGTGTATATATATCCACACACAGAGACAATGACATATATATATATATATAGGACATTGGTCACTAGATCTGACAATGGAAAGTCCGGTGCTTATATATATATATATATATATATAAAAAAAAATTAAAAAAAATATACACACACACACACACTCCCCCAGTCTTGACATCATTCTGATGTTTGCTGGTAGCCATCCCACCTTCACCATTTCAGCAATCTAATTAACGATACAACTATCCATCAATTATGATTTAGATTCAGAGCTCAGACAAACAAATAAACGTCCTTTACTAATTATCGTCCACGATGAGACCCTCTGTTTACCCAGAGGTGTCTGAAGGAGGGTTAGCCCAGCAGGAAAGTATGTCCAAAAAAGGACATTTTGAATTTATTTGTTTCCAAGGCACAGTGAAAGTCTTCCTCGCACACATAATTGTCCTTGGAAGGCGTCTCGTGTCAACCCTGGCATCTGAAAGTCAGACATCAAAGAGTGAAAAAACAGAAAGGCTGTAGTACGAAGCTCAGTGCTGTTTATGTTCAGTTGTCTTCCAGAGCTTAACATCATACTTCAAAGTATAGACAAAGCTGGAATAAATTCTGCTTGTCCCGTGTTTCACAACAGTCATTTTAATTACATTTAAAACAGATAAAATATTGGAAATTGGAAAAAAAGTACTACACAAGATGATGTTTTAAAATATTCAGAAATGCACGTCAGTAGTGAAATGAGACAAGAAGAAAAGGGTACTTCCTTGTTTGCAGTTTAACGCTAATTTTTTAGTGCGAATGGAATATTGAGGAACAGAATGTTTATCATCACATAGTATTTGCCAGGATCGTCAGCATTTTCACTATCACTCTTATTATTCTCCAAGGTATCTTACAGTACCCAGAGAAGCTAAGGGCTAGATGAGCTGAGGACACTCACGAAGAGGTCGCGTGGCCTATGTTTTGCAGCAGACAGACCCATCTAAATGATCATAAATCTGGTCATAAAAACCCAGGAACAGCATCTTTACTACATGTCCTTCTTCAAAATTTTCACAATGACCCTACATCAGATACTGCACCGTAAAGTGAGGAATCCTCTTTTTATTGCATTTGCCTCTATCCAGACCAAAAGACTCTGCTGCACGTCCCTCCTTAGTTTCACCGACAATTACATGGTGGGATTGCCCTCTGCGGAGGAGGATTATTCAATTCCAAATCAGTTCATTCTGTAGGTCTGCTACCTGTAGTTCCCCAGGTACACCAAGCGATGTACGGGGATTTGTCGATATCGCATCTGCTCATCAGAGACTAAATTAAATCTATTCACTTTGTTTAATTTGGGTCGTTTGATTTCAGCAGAAAATGTAAATGTTGGTAGTTTGTCTATATTATAGCATTAAATCATCGCGTACCCATAGTGTATTAGACGTTATTGCAGCACTTAGCCCACCAAGGGGAATGTTTAGTCCAGTCTGGATGGCAAGCTGTGCCCTGTGCTGACCTCCACAACACGCCGAAAAGCAGAGAGTCAGAAAAACAGACAGGCACTCCAAGAGGAGCAGCTCCACAACAAATTTAACTTTCTTCTGCTTTCTGGGAGTTTCTGGAAACCCACTTGCACTAGTGGAGAGTTGGTTTTGCAAAACAGAGGCCAAGGGCAAGATGTTAACTAGGCATCGGCATTGTGAACAACGGGCACCCGCAATCCCAGCTCTGACGCCAGGAATGAGATCTGCTGAGATTTTTAGATATATTTTTGGGTTGTTTATATTTGTGTTTTAGCTATCATACAGGTACAAGTTTTTGGGCTCCCTCTAAAGCCATGAGCACAACATAGATTATGACAACCTAAGTTATTTGGGCAATATGCTGATTCTGGCCACTTTGGCTGCAAGAGAAACACAAAGTGTCACGGGACAGCAATGCGTTAACCTCACCTTAAAGAGCAGTAACATTCCAGGGCAGAAGCTCAAGGCACATTTCATGTTGCGTTATGTTTTATTTCTTACAGAGTATTCCTTCCTCCCTCCCTTAGAAAGTTTTCACCACAGGAAGACGGTGACTTAAGGACCAAATTTTAAAAAAGCAACTGCTCTGGAGTTGGCAAACTGTGCACAGACAAGAAGTCATTAGAGCTTGTTAATCGATGAGCGTGTGCGTAACACAGCCCACTCCTGCACTGGTCATTGGGATGACTCGAGCCCAGAACCATCAGTCCCATGGTGAAAACATTATTGCTTGAATTAAACAAAAAACGTCCTTAGCTTGTTGACGCAACTGTTACACACCTAACACCAGAGAGCTGCCACTTTATTTCCCAGCGATGAGGCACAGTGCTCCATTTACACACTTAGACGTGCACTGTTGTTCCGCGTCCTATTTCAGCATTTCCTAGCAAACGGCAACGGCACCGCTCCATGGGGAACCTGCCACGTCCAGCTCAGTAGTTAAAGATGACGGAGGTGAAGTAGGGAGGCAAGCAGGAGACACAGAGACTGCAATACCGACTGGCGTGAGGCTGAGACTGCTCTGGATGGGAAGGTTATGCTTTTACCAGCATGCCTTTGCTCTCTGGTGAAAGCGAGACGTTGATTAATTTTCACTAAACTCACTCAAAGCAATTTTCATGAGCATTTGATTAACTTTAAAAGTTAAACAACTAAGATTAGTAATAATACAACCATACACTGGGTGTATAATCACTATTCTTGCTATCAGAGTAATTCCCATTGCCATTTACAAGATGTGCAATGGAAAACAATCACAACCCGTACAAATGTGACTAATTTGTACCCTGCCCCCCCACCTCGCTCCTGGCTGCGTATGGCCACACTCCGAACCCCATGCCCATTACACCTCTTTGCAGGCTGATTCACCTCTTCTAAGATGCCCCCAAGCCCACCTCTTGGCCGCTTCTTCTGCACGGTCAGCGAACGAATGCAGCGTGCAGACGGCCAGGGGGGTGCTAGAGACGGTACAAGACCCGCAGGAGAAGGGCACGGTCGGGAGAGACCCGGCGTACCGAAACCTCCCCTTCCCAGCCACAGTGAGCTGCTGTTGTGTGCCAACGGCCGCTCACGCTCCTCTGCTTTCCCTCAACGACTGCAGCAACACGTTCATGGCTTTCTGCTGTAGATCACATCTTGCATCCCCACCGTATCCAAGAGTACCCACCCAGGGACCATCTTCTGGACCGAGTATCTTGGTGGAGTGCATCCTGCGAGAGGGGTAACGTCTCGGGGATTTGGGCTCTGTAGTGCCCCGTGTCCTTCCCCAGGGAAGGCTCAGTCACCACCGATTTCCATTCTGCCCTTGCAGCACACCTCTAATGGTGTTTCAACCCCAAACAGATACCCGCCTAACACTCCGCTCACTTGAAAGTGTTTGTAAATGCACGAAAGATAAAAACCTTTCACGTCCCTTTACTGAAATCATGACAGTGACTCACGCTGCTATTTTTCTAATTCAAAAATACACCACGCGCTGAAGAAATGATAAATAAGTCATCTGCTACTCACACGCTATCAAAGACAAGGACTCCCTCTCCGCCGCCCCTGCATTATTTACAATGCATACTGATTGTTCAACACACACTGACACTGGAAACACTTTCCCAGAAACATTGGTTTTT